TGTCCCATGGGTGTCATTTTGGCAAGGTCATCCCCGTAATCAAGCATTCCCCCGGCTGACAGCCAAATGCATAAGAGCTGCCTATTGTTCTCCTGTGTATTCTCTCAACACTGCAGTCTCTATAGCATTAACAAAATTTAAAAGCATTAAAGAAACAAGCACCACAAACATAATGTCTAATTCAATTCTGGGATTTTTATTTTATTTTGCATTGGTAGAGATTCAACTAAAGAATGAGGATAAAAACAATCAACACCAGTCTTGTAAACCAGCTTGTGATTATCTCTGTATGTATCTTTACATTCAAGCCACTGGGGCAAACTGACCTGACTTAACTTCACCAGAGTTTGGATAAATGAAAAACTCTCAAACAACTTCTGCATTTATCGGCTGTCTCTGCACGTCTGCTCGTGAAACTTTCACCTGAGGTCTTTGCAGCTGTGACCAAAGTGTAGATGAGTTTCACTTAGAAAAATCGATCTGGTCACATCTGATAGAAGAAATCTTTGCAGACAGAATAAATCATGCAGTTTCACTTAAAGTTTTAACCGTTAATCACCTGTACAAGTTTGGTCAAAAGTTACTGTATTTTATAGTAATATCTGTCAAGTTTTTATACCCCTGGATCTGTGTGATTTCAAAGACAGAGAATTTGCTTATATTTCCAAATATGTTGGTGAGCCATTCAAAAGAGATTTCTCTTTAAGGCTGAGCTGCACCGAGGGACTGCACCCACGTCCAGCTTGGATCTGTGAGTCATGCAAAGCTACTATACGCCAGGTATAGCTGGATACGAGGAGAACAAGCCTGTGATACTTGATTTATATAAACATATGTTTGCATGTGAATACTTTGCAAAAGCAAAGTACAAGATTGTCCAGTCACATTTGAGCAGACAGGAAAAGAGGACGTGCTGAAATGCAGTCTCAGAACTAATGGGTATTGCTTTCAAAATTATACATATATATATATATATCTACATTTGTAAACAAAACCTGGCAGCTGAAACGGGAAGTCTTGACCCAGATATCTTGTTTACACAGAAAAACTTGGCTCATGTGTCCCCACATTGGTTGTAGTGGAGCATATCTACACTCACAGATCCAGGATGGATTTTTCCCCCTGTAACATTCAAATATTTTTCCAGTTTTCCACACGTTCTGCAGTTACCGGCTGCTTCTTAAGCAGTTCTTCTCCATTTAACATGCCTCTTCCCCTGCATCCTGAGCTGAAACCTCTCTGTAAACCAACACAGCTGCACCCCCATGAATGTCACTGGTTTCTCTGAATGTCACGGACCAAATGAATGGTCCTGCATTGCTCCTATAATAAGATAATGAGATAATAGCACTTGTCTCTGAGAGCAGAGCTGAGGGGTGCTGACAGCGAGAAAAAGAAAAATGACATTTCCATTTGGAGGACTCATAAAGGATGAAAAAGGTCAAGAGGAGGAGAACAAAAGAAACAAAAGAGGGAAGAAATTGGATTTCTGGATGTAGAGTCCTTCTCTGAAGGTGTGTTGATCCTTGCTGAGATAAAATCTAATCCTCATCTCTTATTTTTCATTTCCAAAATGAGTTTCTATATTTCTTTTTTGTTCCAAATCTCTTCCCTGAGTCACTAAGTCCTTTTCCTGCAGGGCAAACTTGTCACATTCCAACTCTGAGACTCCAGTTTTACTGGAGTCTACTGTTGGTTGATGCATCATGACTGTAGCCAAATTTAGACCAGTGCACTGTGATGACAGAATATTCAGCCTCGATGGGAAGAGGCGCCTCATAAATATCAAGAAATTGGTTTGTGGGTCTAAGAAAAACACTTGTGTCCAGCTGAATTCCTGATAATTTAATAAAACAATAGCTTAGTTAAGTTTAGCAGTTACAAAATTTCTATGTGATATGTTAAACAATAGAAAAAGAAAATCTGTCATTATAAGAGCAAAGAGCAACAACAGAGAGTTGAGAATATAGACAAACAAAACATAGCAGACAGATTCACTACAATATGTGCTTGTTTACTGTAAAGAAAAAAAAACTACTAAACAAAGTATATATGACCTGACCTGAAATCTAATGAAGGAATAAAGAAGTAAAGGTGGCTTCACTGTTTCACATATTTCCAATGTCCGCATAACACATCGAATATCTGACTGATGCTTTGAGAGGTCAATATGACTGGAAGAGCTCAGTGTAAATGAGCTTCACTTACAATTTACACCCAGGGTTTGTCTGTCGAGGTCTTTTGATAGAGGCCTCAAGCAAGTACTTCTTTTTTCATGAATGAATGCAACAATATGAATTCATTTCTACAGGAACAGTTTTCCATTATCATCACATGTAAAGGCCTTCTCTCCTAAAATGTCATTTATTCATTATTCATTAGATCTCTCTGACCTTTGACCACCAATGTATTAATTGTGTTCTTTATTTAGATCTGCTGAAATCTGAACATTTTTCCTATTTGAATTTCTTGAGTTTACATATCTGTATATCACAACTAGTCTGGAATACAGATCCTAGTTGAGTAATCACATTAGAAACCCAAAAGCAGCACAGAAACATCTTGCATCCAGTAACTAAAATGGTCATATGTTTACAGATTACGTATTTTCCGAGTCTGTCCTTTGTGCATGCAGTTTTTTCTGATTCATAGTTGGATTTTTTTTGTGACAGCACTCTGCAGAGACCGTAGTGGCGATCGAGGGAAAAGGAAGGATGTCATGGCTGATGCTGATGGGTTGACAAAACACTGAATTTTAGAATGCAAAGAGGTTCTTCATTTTATGTTTGAGACAGTTTCCGTTTCAAACATAAAAAACTTTGTTTATAGGGGAGGAAAGAAATAATACGCTGATGCAATGCAGGATGGATTGATGGATAGCTGGGAGGAGGTGTAAATTTTAGCTTAAAAACAACCTAGTCAACCTGTTTTGTGTGTGTTATATGTGTAGTTGTATATAATCAAGAGTCTCTGTTTCTGTTTGATTCATTCCGTCCCGCAGTCTGCTTGTTTTTGATTGATTACTATTGATATATTCAAGTCATTTTAAAGACAAAGGAAAATGCTCCTTTTGGTCTGAGCATCCTCAGCATTTTGGGCAGTTTTAAAAGACAAACCTGTGTTTGCAGCTAGAACAATGATTTCTTTATTTGTTTTAACTTGTGGCAGTTGTCTGTTTCTGTTTCTGTTTCTGTCTCAGTTCTTTTTGTTTTTCATGCTGCATTTTTGGCCACGTCTTTTCTGGAATACTAACAGAGAAATCTGTGCCCGGCCTGGTACATTTCCTTCTTTGTGTCTTTCTTCCTTACTGACAAATCAGGGCGGGATACATTCCAGCTCCACATAATTCTTTTAACCCACTAATTTTGGGGGTAAGAAAATGAAATGATGAATAAAAAGATATCCACATGTACGGAAAATGGCCATATCAGCAGAATGTTGACCTGATCAGAAGTGCTGAAGTCAAAGTGAATGAAGAACCAGATGGGACGAATAAGAGGAGGGGATGTGCCAGGACAGCACTCATATGGCACATCCGTCATCCCCTTGTTAGCATCTTGGCATGCAAACACACACACACACACACATATCTACAAACACGCACACACAAGCATTTAGGCCAGACAGCTTGCTGGGCCAGATGGCCTCTTGGTGAGGAGCAACGAGGAGCTTCACAAGAGCATTGGGATGATTTGTGAACCATAACCTCCACACGTCCCTCCTCCTGACTCCAAGCAGCACGCACACAGCAGAGGGGTGCACGGTGAAAAAGAATTGTATAATTTTACATTACCCATACTCCTACATGATCATTGATTGTGAGATCATGTGGAACTACTGCATAAATTAACCTAAACATGTTTTTATTGATGTGAGAAAATCTGAGTGTAGGCATCCAACACCGTAGTCTTAAATCGTATTTTATTTACTGACCGTAGTCAGTAAATAAAAACATCCAAAAAGAGAAATCAGTGGTTGGGTTCAAGGAAGGAAGGAAGCCAAAGAGTTTACACAAGTCATATAAATTGAAAGCTGCTGGTTC